TCACGAAAATCGAACTGTTAAAGAATTTCATATGATTCTCACATTGCTTTTGCTGTGTCACCCGAATTCGTAATCAACCAACGACCCTGATATCCACCTTTTTCCCGTTTTATGACCTAGTTTGGTGGCTCTAAAATAACGCAATAAGGGCGCAAGTGAAATACGAATGTTAGTCAACGAGCTACATTCAAGTGAACTAAGATTTTGCGAAAGTGTTCAACTCTTTGGCGTATGTGCTTTTGATACATCAGTTTCATGGGTTAGAAAATGCTCATGTGATGACTTTTTATCGTCTCACAGTTCTCACAGTCTGAAGATAAATGGGTAAATCTCATTTTGCTCACCTGGCTTATCACCAACGCTACCTCCTCCATTTCCGTTTGTTCCTCCCGACCCCAATGGCGAGAGGTACCCTTCATTCCCTGTGGTGCTTGTGGATGCGTCACATCCTGAATGTTGTTCTGACATCTCTTTAATCCCCCCTCCACCTCCAGCAATGATCAAAGGCGTATTGCTTCCTCTCACCACAAATGTACCTCCACCACTTCCTGCAGTTGTTATGGCGTAAGGCCCTCTTTTTCCTTTATGACCAACAAGTATACGAATGATCTCATTTTTGGTCAAAATAAAGTTTCCGATCATCCTTGCTCCTCTTCCTCCATTCTGGATGACACTGTCCTCACCATACCACCCTGCAGCCCCTATAGCTTCTATTTTATATTCTCCAGTGTATGGCACAGTCCATCGTTGAATCCCACTGGATACGGTAACTTGTCCGTCATGATCTTTTCCGGTATAGTGACCGCCAAGTGAGCTTGGACCGCTAGTTGCAGTCGAACCAAGATTTGTAAATACGGCTTTAAACTCTGGGTAAATAGACACAAAAGGAGTGACGCTTTATTGTTGAAGGCCATACGGCTGCCTAACTGATAGCAAATATGCCTTCGGCGTACTCTGAAAGTAATGGGAGAGCGAAGCAATCTACTCGCACCTTGTTTGACAAAGTAGCGGGAATAGTTGTCACTCGACCGCGCCCTTACCTATGCACATGTTTCTTCCGTCCCCGACTAATCCTGCTTTGCAGGAGCAATTGTAAGAGCCTTGAGTGTTGTTACACGTGGCGTCAGCATGGCATCCATGCAGACCTTTCTCACATTCGTTGACGTCTACGATAAGCATAAAAATGATACCATCAG